GCCCCTTCACCACCTTAGCTACAGTGTGGTGAGTGTACTGGTGTGGATTGGCTGCTGTCATCATCCAGGTGGGGGCTACACAGTGGGGGGTGGTTGAAGCGGCTCCCCATTGGCCTTGTAAAAAAGTGCCAAATTAATGCAACCTTCAGTCAACATTAAGACAGTGGAAATATGCAAATCCCATACAGCCATGAGCAGCACTGTTGTGCAAGCCTTCAGTAAACATTACTGGGGGTCAGAGGATACCAGTAGCATCAGATGCGTAAAAAAGGGATTATAAACAGCTTTTTCATTGTGCCTCTGTGAAACTCACGAGCCTGGACCGCATAAGCAACTCTAGGCTTTTCTGCCAAGGGGTGGATGGTGAGAGAGCCCAGTTATTCATATGTCAAACTCAGCTACACATAAAAATAGTAAGTACATTCACAATAAATTATTATTACACATTGGATTTCATCGAACGTAATGTTCAAATAGCATTTTCATCTGACCAGCAGAGGGCGCACCTGCACACCCGATAAAATCGCCTAAGGCGTACAGCCAGCAGCAGTTACGCAATAACTTAAAGGACTTACACACGAGTATCTGTTTCATTAGAACTGTTTTTAATTCCACAGTCGGCAAGCAGCAATGTATTTAGCACGTATTTAAGTATATTCCTTGACAGCGCAGATAAGAAAACACGGTTTATAACAAAGAACCTCAGTGCTGACCTGGGACCAGTGCACAGTGGTCAAGCTGCCGTCGTATAACTTAAAACAGTCTCTTTAAAACAATAAAATGGACAGGAAGCACTTTAACACAGCCCCTCCCTTTAACAAAATGTTTCTTTGGAATAGCTTTTAGGGAAAAGAATAGGCTACCGAGTTTTCCCCTTAGTTTGACAAACTGTTTGGTTAACCGGCGTATTAAATGGTTGTGTTAAACATATGGGTAGAAGTTCATATTACTGCTATTTCGAGCAAACAGTCAATTTACCCCAGAACCATACTCCTGCAGGTTTTATTGAATATTGTAATCATTACAGTTTTTTTGGCATTTGGCGCATACTGAACACAGACGGTGAAGCAACCGGCAGTCAGGAATCAGGCACTGGCATAACTGCAGACTGTAACCCAGCAGGAACCGTTCAATTACAAGGGAGTTAAACTAATCAGTGATGCACCATAATCTCAACCACCGCGGCTTATGAAGCCAAAGTTCACGTCACTAATCACTAACAAATGAAATCTCTCAATAAAACTGTCAAGTGTTACATAACATACACTTGCTATCTGTTAGAGAATCGAACGATGTATTTTTTCAGGGGATGCCAACACTGCCCTCTATGGGCAGGATCACTTTAGTCATTTTACCTGTACAAAACTTACCGAACAAACAGAACACTTCAGCCTTGAGGAAAACCTTATTCCCAGTGACAGTATGGAACAGTCCTCACAGCATTAAAACATACATAAGGAATCTTAGGCAATATAACAATGAGATAGATTCTCACTTTAAACTCCAGAGGTTAAGTAAGCCTTGATCTGAATTCGTAACAATTTATCCAGGAAACCGCAAACTTACTAAATCCTCCATCTATGTGCACAGTCATGGCTGCCAGCGATCTCTAACCTTCTAACGAATACTCTGCTAGTCACGAATCACGGGGCCATGCCCACAAGAGCCATTCGACAAACAAATAATCAAAAATAAATACAGGAAGAGCTGCAGACAGCGTGTTATTCTACAGGGCATCCCCCAGAAAACACTGGAAGGTTATGTGCAGCTGAGAACTGTTAGTTTGGGCAAAAAACACGATAAACATGGCGGTTCTTTAAGAGAAACTTACCTTCCTCTCACATCACACCTAAATAAATTAATGACACCGTTTTCACTCTTTTTAAAGAGGCAGCATAGCATTGATACAGTGGAGCTCCTGGTTAGGCTTCATGCCACTGTCTGGGCATCTAGGTTGTTCGGGGGCTGGGGGTGCTAATTAGACCTTCTTTGCCACGGCCAGACCGATGAGTCCCGCCGCCAAGCCGGCGAGGCCCAGGCCCAGGCCCCCGACGATGGCCATGCCGATCAGCCCATCTGCAGAGGGCAGAACATGCACAAGCTCAGCCGCCATGTCCTCTATCCAGGTACATCACACTGCGATCTATACGCCACATTAACACAATCGCCGCGTGGTTTTCCGCATTTCGCCAGCTCACTGTCCGTTTCACGTCAACATCCTCTTAAGTACATCTGATATTGGCCATCAGGGGCGGAGCCACATTCCCACACTGTAAGTTAATTGGCCCCTGGAGTGCCCATCCCCTGTCACTCACTAATTGAAAACATATCATTGGCTAATAAGGTTGGGCCCTCTATACGAGTTATGACCCCTCTTATGCCCTCCACCTAAAATATATCATCCTAGACCACCCCTTGGCCACTTTGCCCACAATATTAAGAAGAGATTCCCAGGCCTACTCATCCTCACCCTTCTTCATCGCCTTGTCGATAAACTTCTCCAGGTCCAGGGCCTGGGTGTTCCCAGGCTCGCTTTTCAACAGGTTTCGGATGTACTTTAGGCCCTTCTGGTACTCCTAAAAGGAAGAAGGGGACACAGAGAGATCTTGAAGAAAGATAACACACTAAAAAAAAACACATACCAATACATGTAACTTCTATCATTTAAAAGTCAAAAAGTCCCTTTATAAAGAGCCCAGGTCTAAAACTGGGTTTTATATAAACAAAAAAGGGAAAATCCAAGATACTGGTGCTGGGCAAAACCACAGCCCATCTTTCTCAGCTAATGAGAGAGCCCGGTGCCATGTATAGGCGCTTAAGCAACAGCACCACCTAAGGCTGTGGCGGGGCACTGCAGGTTCAGTGAAAAGGACACACCTTAAGCTTGTAGCACCCAACGGCCAAGTAGAACAGGTAGTCCCTCTGCTCGTCTTTCGTCCCGGTGTGGACCAGCTCTGTTAAACGGACAGAATCACACGCACGCATAACATTTTGTTCAAGCTTAGGAACATCAGGAATAAATAACGTTGGAAGAGATCTAGTAAAGATTTTTGTAAAAGTATGTACACTGTATAGGCATAAAACTGTGATTAAATATTACCCGGTAATACCCCTACGGTTCAAAGTAATTACATAAAAACTCCTCTCTGTCTTATTCCGGCGCTGCTTTGACCGCCTACCATTCAGCAACACGATTCCCTTCTTAATGTCGTCGGAGTACTTGCTCCGGATCAAACACCAGGCGTACTCAAACTGCGTGACGCTGGAGACACCACCTTCCACCAGTTCTGCGTTGTACTTCTTTTCGAATTTCTGAAGGAACATCAAATTTGTGGGGAAAGTTATCAAAACACTGCAGTGCGTTTCCCTGGCCAGTCGCGATCGCAAGTTTGTGGGCTTCCCAACGCTTTGAACAGCGAATAAACCACTGCAACGACACAGCAGCCTGAAAGTCTGTGGGGTAACATGGGCAAAACGGGATCAAAATAAACGCAATTCCGCAAAGCCGGGGTCTTAATTTAACGTCGCCCAAAACAACCCTCTGATCTACCGGGGAAGATACGCGACGTGTTTGACAGCCGCCCCACGTCCACAACTTTCCGCCCCATCGTCTCTGATGTTAACAGTTGTTTATAAAATAGCAAAAACTCACTATAAGATCCTCAGGGGCAACAACTTCCCCGATAACGGCCTCCATGTTTCCGGAAATACTGTGCTGCTCAGCTGTCCGCCTCCTCGTTCTTCTTCAGCGGGGTTTTCCGAGATGATTCATGCAAAACAAATATTCACACCGCCGCCCGATGTCCTGGGGTGAGAGGCGGACAGCGACGCTTCCTCGCCGGGTTCAGCAAGTCTCCAGGTCCAGAACTGGGATCCTGGGCTACAGACAGCGCTGGGTCGCTTTTTAAATTCCGTGAACGCAGCCGGATTACACTTTGACATGACATTTAGGTCAATTTCTTACTATATGCTGATTTATTATTATATTTTTTTTAATAAAGCATTTTCAACCAAGACACGTAAAACGTCGAAGAGACAGACTCCCTAAGTCACGTGACCAGGCAATTAACTAATTAGCTGCCAGTCGTTAATTCTGCGCAGTCAAAATGCCGAGCAGACGAGAGCCCGTCCTAGCATGTGTGCTTGAAGACTGGCAGGAAAGTGGAACATTTTCCAATCGGTTATTCTCAAAGTGCAAAAAAGTCTAAACATCAGAAAATCATGTTAAAGCCAGCTGCGTGCACGGTTTCCCAAATAATTCTAAGGTTAGCTATTTTTATTAAAGTTTCTCTAAGGATCCGTGAATTCATCATTATTTATTAAAACCCTTTATTTGTTTTCTAGAATTTTGTTGCAAAGCTTGCTGTCTTTCGGTGTACCACATCAAGCGCCTGTCGGTAAGGTCTATTTTCATTCCATATCACTCATAAACGATTAATTTCAATTTTATCATGGTCTTAAAATCTTTCAATATTTCTTAGCGCAAAAAACAATCGGTCAAAGCGCTTGTTCCAAATATAACGTAGAATTAAACCCAACATGTGGTCGCGTTTTTCTTCTAATTTGTCGATGCATGGGTGTTTTTATATTTGCATATCCGTGATCTTGTTCTTCCGGTAAGGGATGTTCAGAACAGAGTGTCTGGATCGGCATTTCTGCCTGGTGGTCAAGTCCGGCTTCCTGGGAAGCATGTTCCGATTTGACATCGAAGGTGAGAGTGTTGCCGTTTTCCTCGTCGCTGGATTAGCGTATACACCCCGATCCCTCCGCTATTTGCTCGTCCCTTCTTCCTGCCACCCCAGGGGCCAGCGGCGTCCATCCCGTATCGGGCCGCAGGGCTGCCCAGTGTGGCTACACCGTGCTGCTGAACCCCGGGGGAGACCTGGTGCTGCGCGCCTCCTACCTGGCCTGCGACGTTGACAGTCAGGTGACGTTCTTACGGGACACGAGCACCTGCTTTAGCTTTAGGTTAAATGGCCATTTGCTCTTCCAATCATTCATGGAGTTTGCGCGTTACTAAATTGTCCATAGGTGTGCATGTGTGAGTGTCCTGCGATGGGATGGCACCCTATCATGGGTTGTTCCCTGTCTTGTGCCCATAGCCTCCGGGATTGGCTCCGGACCCCCCGCGACCCTGAATAGGATATGTGGATTCGGTGGTGTTTTGTTGATGCCTCCATTTTTTGCCACATGGACTCTTCCACACATTCTCTCGTGCCTGCAGGACGTCACAGGGCCGCAGCTGCTGGTGTGGTTCATGAACACCGAGCCGGACGGAAGCGAGAGCGCGTACCCCTTCCTGTTAACCTGCCCCCTGCCACACTGGAGTCCCCGTGAGATCGTCTGTGAAGAAAACTACATGGAGGTGGGGTGTCCTTTTTACGTAGAACCCCCCCCCCCCCAAAAAAAAAAATAACTGTTAAATGGCTTACCAAAACACCTTGACCACCATGAAGCGTTTGAGGGTCGCTGATTCTGCTCGCTCCCCTCAGGTGTCTGCCAGGAAGCCCACCCCCCCTCTTGAGCAGAGGGGTCTAGAGTGGATGACCCCGCCCCCCTTGGTGCGTCCTTTGGGTGCGGAGTTGTGGGTGGATGACAGTAGTATCCCTGTTGATATGTGTGACCTGCTGGCTCTGCCATCTTGTATGATGATGATGTATGTAAATATTTGATAATGTTTGTGCATCTTTATTAAAGTGTGGGTGCATATATTCCTGTATTTACAGCACACGCCTGACAGTGTGTTCTCATCCTCGCACCAGGGTTCAGAAGAGGGGGGGACGAAGGAGTGGCGGGTTGTGTTCAGTGTCCCCGCGGAGAATCCATCCGCATTGTCCGCCATGAGGGAGGAGACGCTCTCCCTGAAGGAGGCGCAGCTCATGGGTTACCATGTCAACGCCACAGGCACGCGCATCATCCTGCGCTGCGCCTACTCCGCTCCCCACGCCTACGTCATGCAGGTGGCTCCCGGCTCCGGCCCGGTTCTGGAATGCTGTCCTGTATAGTGTTGCTCGGGACTCCGCCGGATGCACACTTTACGGATCTTCTGCTGTTCACGCACTTTCAGGAGAAAGGCGTCATTCTGGAGGTGATCAGTGCCACAGTGTTCTACAGGCACCAGTGGACTCTGGTCATGGTGGACACCTCGCTGGCGTGTGGCATGCGTAAGTTCACCACCTGGGGGCGCTCTTCTCAATGGGTGTTCTGGGAGATGGGAGAATGTTTTGTGTAGCACAGTAATGTTTGTTAGTGGCTTGGGTCCTGTTTATTGAGGTGGTACCGATGGCCGCATGAATGATCTGTATTCCTCCTCGCTCCTCCCCTCTTTCCAGACAAAGGTGAGCTTGACGGCTCCTACATCCTGTGGCGCTTCCCCCAGCTCCTGCCCCCCCTGGTGCAGGTCCCATTTGAGGACAAGGGGGCGGCGGTGGGCGTGGCCGGGAGTTTCCTGAGCGACTGTGAACTCCAGCAGAGGGGTTACCGCCTCAGTGTTGGGGACGGGGTTGTGGTGATCGGGATTCCTTTCGGCGCCGACGGGGGTTCCCTGAAGGTGACTTACCCTGATACCACGTAAGGCCTTCTGTCGCGCATGATATGGGGACAGTAGACGGCCGTCCCCATGGTTACTGTCAATGGTTTCCACGACGATGGCCGAGATCATTATGAATCAACCTGCTGCTACTTTGTGATTCTGATTAATCATTTAAAATAATTGTAATGTATAAGAGCATGCTTTAAGACCTGTCACAATGATCCGTTGCTTCCTCTGGATTCTAATTGGGTCTTGTGTGCCCTGTAATATATGTTATGTATTTTCTGTCACATGACCTTTCCTCCAGAGTCACGTAATGCATGGCCAGTACTCCCAGTCATACTCCATAGACCTGTTCTACATGCACCAGTGGAGGGATGCCCAATGGGACCTGACCCAGCACCGCTCCTTCCGGCCCCTGTGGACACCGGCCGTCCCTCGGACCCCCAGCATTATGAACCGTAAGCACCCCCACCCCCCCCCAAAAAATATAAATGCAATCATTTACATTTTCGTTCTATGATGCAGTGCTTACATTAGCCCTGCAGGGGGCAACAGTCATCTTTTCGACTAAGCTTGACAGTTGCACTTTCAGGCTTATTTTCATTTCCCCAAAACCAGGCAGTGATTTTTATTCCATCTTTTTATGTGCCTGTAGTCACTGTCCCTGCGGAGGGGGTGTTCTCAGTCAGCCTGGGGGCATTCCCCCCTGATGTGTCCCTCACCCACCTGACTGTTGGGGGCCACGTCGTTCCCATTCTGGATGCGGAGGAGTTCGGCCTTCTCATATCCCACGTCCCTTTGCCCAACGGCAGTCACTCCTACCTGCTGCAGGTGCCATTTTCTCACCACCTTGTCCTGCAGAAGGTGAGCCTCTTCCACATTCAGCTGCTCTCTTCTATTCTGGGCTCTTGACTACTAGTCCTCCTCCTCCTCCTCTAGTACTTGGGAAACAGGTACAGGAGGTACACGCTCCAGGTGAACTTCACCCTGCTCCTGATTCCCCACGGGGAGACCTTCTCCCATCCCGCCTCCGTGGTCTGTGAGCTGCAGGACGTTGGTGAGTGCAGTCGTATGCTCAAGCCGTCTCTCGAATCCCCACCTTGGTAATGCTGCTGGTTCTCTACCTTTTCTTCCCTCCAGTCTTCCCCAAGATTAAAGCCCAGTGCACTGATGCCAGCATAAGGCTGCAGCTGCATTATGGGAACTTGGAGACCCAGTGGTGGCTGTACATCGGAAGCCATAGGTTGGAGCCCGAGCTGGTGGATAAGGGGGGGTACTGGCTGGAGAGTGGGCCAGGGTACCTTGGTGTGGAGGTGCCGCTTTTTGGGCCGGGCATGGCCTATGAGGTGGGCAGCGCTGAGCTGGATCACCGCTTGTACTTCCTGTTTGTCACGCATGTGCACGGACGGCGGTGGCTGACTCCTCCCCTCTGACAGGACCTCAGCCTCCGGGGGCTGGTGGCCAGCCTGGTGGTAAGCGTGATGGATGTGGACACCGGCATCGCGGAACATTCCTACATCCAGCGCTGTACCTTCCCCCTCAGGGAGCTCATGGGTAAAATTCTGGTGTGCCCCTGCCCCCCCGACCATTTACTGTTAATCGCAACTAAGGGTCAATCTGAAAGCTCATGGAATTTTTTTTCTCCCTGATTTCGTCTTTGTGGAGGGTATAAACTGGCCATGGTGTCCTGGGTGTAGTTCTGTTGGTGCCCTGTAGATGGCACTCTCCATGATGTTTAGCAGATGTAATAATCTGGTGACTAATATCCTACCCTTTAGCCCATTAAACGCTCAGTGAACTTTTCCATTGTATCAGAAGGTGGGGTCCTATGCTTCCCCTGAAGCTGACTTCTGTCGCTCCTCCCCCCTACAGTGTGCCTCCCAGATGGGCGGATGGTGGTTCTGGTGGATACAGCAGGTACCTTCCCTCCGGTGGACCCCCGGCACACCAGCCTGCTGGACCCGTCCTGCAAGCCGCAGGACAGCGACCACTCGCGGGCCCTCTTCAGCTTCAGGCTGAACTCCTGTGGCACCACAGTGAGCGTGAGTTAACTTTCACAACATAAAATCCCCAAAAGGGGTTAGTCAGGAACTGACCTGACCGTCATCCAACCTGCTGTTGACAATAAATGGTTCTCGGATGGTTTTGTTGGCCATCCACACTGTTGATATGATTGGTATGGTTTCATAGCTTATGCTGAGTCCTACTTTTATGCTCCAGATTGAGGGAAATAACCTGGTGTTCATGAACGAAGTCCGGTTTTCCCCAAAAGGCCAACCTGCACCCAACCAATTCACTCACCTGTCGTACCGCTACAGGTGAGGGCTCGGTGCTCCTTTGTACCTGTGTAGGATGACGGTCCTCCATTTCCATTCAGCTCCGTACAATTTGGTCCATCTTCTGCTTTTCTAGACAACCAATTGGATGCCACTACCCCATAAATGGTACCCGGGAAATGTTGATCTACAAATCCCGTGCGGGCGCCCAGATCTCGCCCCTGACACGGCCCCGCAGGTCCTTGAAGGGCCAATCCCGGTGGCTGTCTTTCATCCGAGGTGAGACTGGGAGGTAGTGGAGCTTCAGCCTCCTTGGTACTTGATGCTCAGTAGAAATGCTCATTAATTGTATTGCAGATTTTAAATACATTTATAAAATCATGCCTGTATATCAAGCTGTTTTGCTCTGTTGATAAACAGTTGGTTGACTCATTTTATCACATGTGCCGATATTGACTCTAATATTGGTGCATCTGCTTCTCACGTAGGCAACGTCTCCTGCACCCCTTGGTGTGGGCTTTGGAGGTGACACTGGTGGCCCTGGGGTTTGAGGGGTGGGGGGAATTGGGGGCAGGTCCCCTGCCTGAGGGTGACCTATTGGCTGTGTTCTGCCAGCTTATATGATCATGTATGTAAACATCTCTAATAAAGTGTGGGTGTATATATTCCTGTATTTACGGCACATGTTCCATTTTGCCTTTTCTTGACCGCTAGGTGCTGATGAACCAGCTGTGACGCTTTTCCTGTTCACCACTTAGTACAGTGTTTTTTTTTTTTATTATTATTTAATATAAGAATAGTTAATTGCATTTTAATATATAGTCTTGTAATGGGGGCACAAGGACGAATTGAATGAAACATGTTGCTTTAAAATGGAAAGTTTGGCTGATCATTATCTGGGTGAGCGAATACCACTGTTTCATCTCCGCATCTTTGCATGAACAGGTTGCTGTTGCTATGGCACTTGACCTCTAAACCACCTAGACACTCCGTGTGGGATAGGACATCTGTAGTTAAAATAAAGAACTAAGGTGACAGATTTTAAAGGTGTCTCCAAGCGGTTTTACAGATATGCATACTAGGTATTTCTGGTTTTAAAAGTCTTAAGTGGGGAAATTCTTTAATTCCTTTTAAAAATTGAGAATCAATTCAGCGTACTGAATTTTTGAGATTTCAGTTTGTAAATGACAATTTTATTAGGTGGTTTGGGACAACCACATCGGGAAAGGCTCTGTATAAAAATATTGTAGTAATTGCCAGCTGTGGAGGGTATAGTTGGTCTTTACAGCTAGGGGGCGTGCTTCTTCCAAGTGGCCCAACCCACGTTGAGCGGCTCAGCTGCCGCTTGGCCTGTCGGGGTAGCTGCCGCACATCCATGGTTTGTGGGCTGTGAGTGAGAGAGTTTAGGCCTTCCTGCAGGCTGAGAGGAAATCCAGCCTCGGATACAGACGGTTTCCTCATTTATACGTCACTTTGTGTTGTAATCCGAGACTTTCGGTTTCGGTCTGAAGGTTCCGCTGCTCGATCCCAAACTCCAGACGTTTCCTGTGAAATCGGTTATGACTCCGAGGCTCTCAGAGCCGGTACCGGGAGTCCAGCAGGCACTGTGGCTTCATGAATCCTCTGCTCTGCCCCTCCTTCCTGGTTCCCACAGTTGTGTCTTTGCAGGGTAGCTCCTTGCACCCTGGCCTGCGCCACCCGGTACTGCTCGCGCAGGTTACGCCGCCGCACGTGCTCGTTCGTGATTTCCTGCACGTTTGCCGAGGGGAACCAGCCGGACTCACCGTCAGAGAGGCGGATGCCCTCGTACCATCCTGTCACCGAGACACGGCAGCGGGGAATGAGACAGGGAGGAGTGCAAAGCAACCAGATTTCTAAACAAGGCCCTTGTTTGTTTATGCTGGATGTTTCCAGAACTGGGGGGTATTTTTCGTACGTGGATTACTCGTTTAGCTGGATGTAATTGTTGACAATTTGGCATGATCCTGAATCAGTCGGTTTTTCGAAACTCTTGCTGGATGTGTTGTCATAGCAACACATCCAAATCCTCAAACCTGCTCGGAGCAGGTTTGTTCTGTGTAAACAAGGATTAGCTCACACACTTAATCAGTGTCCGTGCGTTGAAATCCAATCAGTCATGGCCTCGCCATTCATGGATGAGCAACCAATTGATATCTGTGCGCAAATTATAAGGAGAATTTCATATAGAGAGGGTTTTGCGCGATCGACAAGGTCTTTTATTGCTCCCAGAAGAAATTATTTTCGAAAGATACCGCTTTAGCCGAGGGGGAATATTGCACCTCCAAGATTTATTAGCACCTTATATTCAAAGTCAAACTTTATGTGTGTATATATACGTACATATAAGTGTGTGTATATGTATGTATGTATGTATGTATGTATGTATGTATGTATGTGTGTATATAGATTATGTCAATTCTTTAGTTACCAATATTTACCAGTTTGAAGTATATTCTTGTACTTTAACCTGTGTCTCATTCTCATAGTACAATATAATAATCTATACCACAAGTGTGTCTGCTGGGGTGTGGCATGAGTAAATGGTGTCCTGTAGTTGTGTTCTGGCCATACAGCAACTCTGGATATAACGTACTTCGGATATAACGGACTGTTTTGCCAGGTCCCTTGAAGTCCGTTATAACGATATTTTACTGTATTAATTATTCTGACCCATAGGAATGAAACGCTGCATTCAGTAAGTACAATGAACACTACTTCCGCGTTTACTTTGTCGGCCACTTTTTGCCAGGCGTCTTTTGGTTTGTTCTGCTTTTGCCGTGTTTCCACTTGTGCACAAGTTCTTGAAATTCTTCATATCCTTCTAATACGAGGTCCTGCTCCGCTTGTGTGAAAAGGTGCACTCTTCCTTTCGTCATTTTGTTGCAGCCTATCAAAGACTTGCTGATCATGTTTTCTAGACTCTAGATATATGGGCTTTTCAAGCAGCGCGGGCGCGCAATCATCTCTTATGAACGGATCCAGCTAGACTAATCTACTACACAGCTGTGCTTGAAAAACCGACTTATCCCAGATGAATCTCACTGGCATTAACTCATCCAGGATGAGGCATCTGATTTCGGATGATTTAAGCGACGTACGGAAAATACCCCCTTTGGCTTCCTCCATTCAAACCATGTTTGGGTAGGGCCCCCTGTTGGCCACGAACGGTCACTACACTAAAGGTGTTCCTTAGATGCAGAAGCAGTGTATTCTGCTAACTGGCTGGCTGCCTAAGACCTTGTGTCTCCACACATTAGCTGTTTTTTTTTTTTTTAACTCTTGAAATAACTGAGGGGGGGGCAGGGGGCCCTTGGAACTGACGAACCGGCCCCTGCTCCGCTCACCTTCGTTGGTCTTCCGTAGGACGTTGATGATGTCAGTGGGTTCGAGGTTCAGCTCGTCGGCCTGCTGGGCCGTGTACTGGTCCACGCACTGCACCTGTGGGCAGTCTGGGACACGACACATACACTGTACATATACAGGAACGGATCGTGCAGTATAGCGGAAGGGGTGTGCCTGACTGTAAGGGTAAGCCCCCCTTGACTACTCACCCCAGTCCTCATATATGACCTCCTCTTCCTGTTTTGGGGTCGTGGGGTTCGGAAATGCCGCCATCCACCTGTGCATGTCTGACCTGCATAGAGCAGCAGGAAGTGACACAGGAAGTGACGTAGAGGAAGCTGCATTGGTGGTATGCCTCGAGTAGCAGGAAGCCCACACAGCTCTACTCACTCCGTAGGAGCCTTCATCAAGCGCTTGGTCGTCTGACCCTTGTGGTTCTCCAGCAGTATGAGGCAAAAACTCTTTTTTAGCATCGAGCGATGGTGGTCTTTGTTGACTGGCTGGACCTGGACCAGTGAGCGGTGGGCGTGGTCGATCACGCTGTAGCGGTCGGTGCTGTTGCTGTGGGTGAGATGTGAAACTCGACATGGACAATCGACCTCTTTCGCTTCTTAATAAGACAGAAATACGCCTACAGGAGGCTGACTGACCTCCTCTTGTTGGTGATGATCAGGAGGTCATTGAACAGGAACAGGCATATGGAGACAAACTTGGAGCGGAGGCTGAAGATGGTGCCCCCTTTGGCCAGCTCCTGCAGTTCCCCCCGTTTCTCAAGGTAGCGGGCCTGAGAGATGACAGGAACAGCCTGTGTGCAGGGGGGGAGAGAACACAATAAGCACTTCCCTTAAAGACCACCTTATAGGGAATTAGTTCTGAATACGACACTGAACTCCACCTATAGCGTGGTTCTCATGGGGCACAGCACCCCCTCTAGTTGGAAAAGGGAATTGCACCTCACCCTGAGCTTGTTGAAATCCAGACACCTGGCCATATGTATCAGCTCCTCCATCTGCTTCATCTTGCCCACCTGTGTGTTGCACTCCTTCACAATCTGGGGGGGGGGGCACAGGAAGGGGTGTTGACCGGACAGCCTGATCTTACTGTCTTAAGGTTTCAGTTCTGTACACCAAGTCTGTGCCATTGCATCTTGTGGGGTTTTTTTTTATCAGAAAATGACTGAACTCCTGCCCATGGTACACAGAAAATGAAAGGACTATAACTACCCAGAATACACTTTGTTTACTTGGATCAGACCATGAGAGCTTTGTGAACCAAACCAAATAAGGTCGGGGAAGTGGGCAGCTGATGGGTGGCTGTCAACACACTGATCATGTTCTCTGGTTAATTTCCAGTCTAGCTAAGTTTGACGTGGTTGTACTTTGCCAGCTTATTGATGTGACTGCCTTGGGAAAAGCGAGGCATGGAGCTCCAGGTCACATGACACACCAAGTCACATGACACACATCACTCACATTCAAAGACAGGGAGAGAAGGGGGGCAGTCTTACTTTAGACACACAGGCAAGCGCTTCGGAAGCCGTCCGCTCCTGCTTCGATCCTTCCTTGGTCCTCTTCAGAATGTTCTGGAAACAGAACAGACACAGACATCTGGGCCACTGATTCTCACATCATATATCCAGGAGCCTTACCATTCACAGCAATCAACAAGGGAACCTTGATTTATGAAGCTCAACAGTTTTTAGTTCTCTGTTGACTACTAGCAATATTTGCCATTTCTGTTAGCTGCAGTTTGTGGCCTTTTGGAGGTTTGTTTTCAGTAACAGGCCTCTGATTTAGGGTATGAGTAGGAGTGGCTGAGAGCCTGGGCGGGGCCTGGAGTAGCTGGGCGGGGCCTAGCATGGCTGGGCTGTATCTGACATAGCTGGGTGGGGCCTAGAGAGGCTGGGCGGGGCCTGGAGTAGCTGGGCGGGGCCTAGAATGACTGGGCTGTATCTGACATAGCTGGGCGGGGCCTAGCATGGCTGGGCTGTATCTGACATAGCTGGGCGGGGCCTAGCATGGCTAACATGGCTGGGCGGAGCCTGGAGAGGCTGGGCGGGGCATAGCATGGCTGAGCGGAGCCTGGAGAGGCTGGGCGGGGCATAACATGGCTGGGTTGTATCTGACATAGCTGGGCGGGGCCTAGCATGGCGGGCTGTATCTGACATAGCTGGGCGGGGCCTAGCATGGCTAACATGGCTGGGCGGAGCCTGGAGAGGCTGGGCGGGGCATAGCATGGCTGAGCGGGGCCTAGAGAGGCTGGGCGGGGCATAGCATTTCCAGAGTGGTGCAATGGCTATTCAGGGATTGTTATGGATGAGTTTGGCTTGGTATAGCTGGAAGGGGCTTGGTATAGTTGGAAGGAGCTTGGTATGGGTGGAAGGAGCTTGGTATAGCTGGAAGGGGCTTGGTATGGGTGGACGGGGCCACCTACCTCGGTCAGCATCTTGATCCGTGTGATTCGCTGGAAGGGTAACAGCAGGAATGAAACGAAGGGCAGACGCTGGCAGCACGGAGACTCCTGCAGCCGTGACATCACTGCAGCAAACTGAGCATTCCTCTGCCTATGGGGCAAAGGGGTCAGAGGTAAAGGGGGTCAGCTGACCGAGGATGTCAGCAGGACTTGGCAGTGGATCTGATTAGTGGAAGTGTGAGTGCAGATGCTTCCTCAAAGCAGCAGCTTTGCCTGAAGCCAGGAAAACACCACATACAAGAAAAGCTGAAAAGAACATGAAAGTAAAAGATAAATGTGCAACCAATGTTCTTACAGCCATCTTAAGTTTCTAATGTAAGCATTTTCTAACATGATTAGTTAAGAAGATGAAGTGGATGGTATAAATATATAGGCTGCCAGGGGTGGAGTGGCGTTAAGCTCGTCTCTCAGAAACGCATGGGGAAGCGAAAGCAGACTTCATGTTGAAAGATGCTGCCTTTCTTCTTTTGGATACGGATAGTCTTTCCGAACCATGCCATTCGTCTTAAGCTACTGAAATTAATTCAGGAGAAACTGCTTACTTGTTAGGAGGACCTAAGGTTTCCACATCCTTATAATAATAATAATAATATGGTTTTGAAGAGTGTATGTTTGCAGTCAATTTAAACAAAAAATACATTAACAACATACTTAATGCTCTCAGATTATAGGTGCCGGAGTTAGTGTTGGATATAAGCTTATGTAACACTTTGGGATAAATGTATTCTTTAGACAGATTAAATATATAAAAATGTTAAGACATGTCAAACTCCCTAGAAAAGTGGCTGACGGGCCTCAGACTTCAGAAGGTTAGAACCACCAGGGACAGCTTTGTTCTTTCTGGGGGCCTTGTCATTTTGGGCTTCCCCCTCCCCAGTGCAGTGTGCTGCAAACGGGGCCCCCAAACCTCTTTGGCCCCTCAGAAATGTGTGGTTTGAGTTCCGGGAAACAACAGTACTAAATAGCATACATCCCTGAGCAGCAAATTATATTATTATTATTGTTAAGGGTTCCTT